GTAGATATTGAGATAATTGGAGAAATCGATACCATATCTAAAGACCATGATTATGATTCAATAGTCTTAAGCATAAGACTACTTGTTGATTTTTGTTTTCACAACAATTGATGTTTTCATACAGTTGCATTTTACGCGCAATCCACTTATTATATATTTATCATATCTAAATTATTATGTCTATTATCGAGGTTGCTTATGCAAAGTATTATACAATAATTACCGAATAACTTAATATTCTACCAGAATTAATTAACTGACAATATCGAGACGCTGTATATAACTGTCCTCTATACAGCTATACACTGTATATACGACTGGCTTATCTTGAAATAGCTTTTTATTATAGGTACACGCTTCTTGCTAAACTAAATTGTCGACAATACCTCGAGAAGATATGAACTTTAAACGAGCAATTTGATTTAAAAGAAGTGTGTTAACCCATGTATTATCACATCTCTACTATCTAGGTCAGCACTATCGCAGAACTGACTGTGTCAGTTCGACAATGTCGCGTTTGTCAGTACTTAAGGATACTAGCAGCGATATCAACTGAAAAATAGAAATTATCTATCTCAGCAGTAGGCAGTTGCAAGAAAAGTGCAAAATTGTCGTGGTTATTTTGCTGGTGAGCTTTTCAAAAGAAATCGCCGTCCGCGAAGGATTTGCAGGATCGTTGGCTTTTAGAGCCAATTAGTTCGATAATAAACGGGATAGGCTATTTACGTTACTACGTTGTATTATCTAATAGGTGTCGTCTATTAATGGCATATCGATGGACATTTTTAATAGGTAGGCTATTAACGTTAACGCGATGTATTTTCTAACATTGATGGATGGAACTCTGCTTGATGATACGTGTAATGTTATCGTTCAATTATGTCTTTAGGACAATGATGGAGTGACATTTTATTTGTGATAATTAAATAGATTGCAACATTGCATGCACTTACTCGTATATATGCAGGTTTTTAATATGATTATGTTATTCCGACGAAACACATGTTTTCCACTTATAATCGCTTATACATATTAGTATAATTCATAAAAGAAACGGAAAGGATATTCTTTGAGATCCGATTATAGATATCCAATTATTATATATGTTTTTCTTTCTTTGTTGTTTCATTGCTTTCTCTGTTGCGGTTCGAAGAAGCTTTCCGACTCCACGTTTATTCCGCTTTGGAAAGAAAGAGAGAATTTTATTATCCCACATAATATCTCTTATGGAGATGGTATTGGCGAAATGTCGTTCAAGGATTCACTATGACTCATAAATCTACTACTCATAAATCATATATTTTTTTTGTCATGTATTTTAAGTGAGATAAATCGCTTTATAGCTGGATAAAGACTTTATCAATAAATGACAATATTGACAACATTTTGAGTTAATCCACTCTTGTATCTTGTAACGTGTCAATAAGATCTTATCGATAGAATTGTCAGTGGGATAAAAAATAAATCGAATATACTGTCTTCCTAAAAAAAGAAAAGTAAAGCAAGTTTGAAATCTTACAAAAGCAGCAGGCAGTTATAAGGATTCATTAAGGTGACCTATTATTTTCTGACTTCTTCACATTTAATGTTAGCATAGATACTATTGTTAAGTACGCGTTCAGTTCTTCCAGTAATCCAACTTCTTTCTCTTTATAACATCATCCCTCAATCTTGTAAAAATCCTAACGTAAAATATATTGTTAAAGTTTTCTGTTTTTCGTCATCACTGCGATTAATCGATAAATAAATTACGATTTAGTCAGTTAAAATATTTTACAAAATATCTTATTGTAATAAGCGTTTCAATCTGCGCTTAACATAAAACTAATAATAACATAGAAAATTTTTCGGATAACTGATGTTGATTATAACATCGAATAAAAATTACAAACGCAATGTAACTTTAATAAATAAAAATTGCTGCAGGCAGGTCTTGAATATATGAGTTACGATGATGTCGAGGAATGATAGTTGGTGAGATGCATTCTTTAGGAGATAGAATATTATGATTCGGAAAAGTACATAATTTCTATACAATTATACAATAATTGTATAATACAACAACTGTCTCGGAAACGTACAGGAAATTATAGAGATGTGACATTGCTTCTTTCCTGTACGACTTTCCAACACTGATACAGCAGTCCTTTCATTGTGTTTGTTTTGAGTTAGGATCATTAGTACTTATTTAACGGCGATTTCAGCTCTATAAAGCTAACAGGACTAAATTAACAGAATCGGATCTATCGGAATTTTTAGTACTCATTTTGTACTAAATTGTAATTAATGATAATTTTATATCGTGTATCATTTCGAAAAAAATCGTGGCGCTGATAGCTTAATATTAATTCTGACAGGACTGATTCAAAATAAAAGAGAAAAAGAAAAATAATATCAGAAATCAATAGTTCTGAGTCAATAGTATTATTTTTCTTTTTCTCTTTTATTTTGAATTGCCACGATTTTTTCCGAAATGGTGCACGGTATAACATTATCATTATTAACAATACAATTTAGTACAAAATGAGTACTAAAAATTCTGATAAGTCCAATTTGATTCAGCTAATTTTATCTTGCTAGCTTCATAGAGTTGGTTTCATTTGTCTGCTTGTCTGCAATGCTTATTTGCTTATCCAACTTCCTTTATTTCATCTCTTCGGATCATTATCATCTGTCAATACTATCCAAATTTCGGAACATCGAATGCCGTGACGTTCGCGTGTGAAAACTTATACGAATAAAATGTATTTTCGAGCATAAGTTTTAGCTGGAAAATTCTCTGGCTCGGTGCCAACGATTCCAGTCTTTGCGTAATGTCAGCTCGGCTCTGTTTAAACTATTTATCCGTCTACGAGATTATCCTTTTTTTTTTGCCATGAATATTGCGAACCAGATATCCGTAATGCAAGTCGTGCAAGTCTTTGTTAATCTTGATAAATGAATAATTATTTTGTTTAATATAGCTTATCGTTATATTAAATTGACTCTATACTGTCGGATCAATTTTGTATTTTGAATTAATTAATAAATCACGTTGAAATTAATAAATTTGGAACTAGAATTTTAAAAAATACTAAATTTAAGAAACATTCCAACACTATAATTATCTCTCTCATAAAAACAGAATATATTGTGAGTCTATCGTTATCGAATAATTTATTTTAATCATTCATCTTCAGATTTCCTTTCTTTTTATAAAGAGTCTTCCTTTGCTCAAACAGAGATGATGGAGCAGAAATGTGTGATCCGTTCGTAAATTAGGTCATATATAGTGACCTTACCATTTGATTCGTAAAAAGAGATTCACCGGTAGTAGAAATTAGCGTAGATATTCAGCCTTGTCTCTAATCGCAAATGGCGTTTTACTTTTACACTACGTATCACACTATGTCGAATTTAGATTTATATAAAGTAATATTTTTAATACATATTATTAAATCATCGCATCTATTTCATTTGTTATTTTTATCATTATAAAATATAATGCATATCATTTGAGATGAGATAAATAAAGTGGCAAAGTCATATTATATTCATTTAAATATTTACAATTTTATATATGGATTTAAAAACGAGTATAGATGCAGTGTGTATGCAAATACAATAGAGTATATTATATTTAACAAATGCATACATCATACATCTTATGTGTACGTTTATAACTATTAAAAGGAAACACGAAAAGACCGTATGATACAATGAGAAAAAAATATCCTAAATTTCAATAAATATTTATTTGAATAGTATCAACTAAATATTTATTAAATATAAAAATATATTTATTTCGTACAAAAAACATTAATTTAATTTAACAATCGTTTTGTTTTTTATTAAGTAAATATTTATTTATTGTTAGTAAATGTTTAGTTGGCAGTATTCAATAATAAATATTTATTTAAATTTAGGCTATTTTTTTTCAGTGTACGGGCTGTATCACACTAGCTAGATCGAAGATTGCCTCTCTTGAAGATCTGCGTTCGCGCCTCTTGACTAATAAAAAAAGAGCTGCTGGTCAGCAAGTCCTTTCTGAATGGAAAAGACGTAAACGCGAACGTAGATCTCCAATCGCAATCTCCAATCGCTAGCGTGATATCGGCAAAACATTAACGATCTGCCATCGAAAAACCGATGTATCGAGTGTATCGCATATATTATAACATATTTATTATAATAGGTTGCAGGACGCAAAACACAGGACGCAGGAAGTTGAGTAATCTCCAACTTTCGCGTCCTGCTTTCTGCGCGTTCTATTATGTGTATCGTCTACAATGCACGGAGTAAGAAGTAAGAGTAAGAAATTGATCAATCACAGTCGATTATTCTTCTCACATTCGATTGTGATTGGATCAATTTTTTACTCCGTGTATTGTATTAGGCAATTACGTATTGCGGTCTGCGATCTATTATAATTTGAAATATGTACGTTTCACTTGTGACCTGCTATGTCTGTATGCTATATTGAACTTTAGTTATATAGATCTCGGTAATACACATTGTAATACGAATTAAATAAGTCGCTATTAAATATTCGCAAGTGTGATGTATACTTACGACTTGCGTAGCTAATCAGCCAAGGTCTATCACGCCTTACTTATACTCTTACTTATGCCAGCTTATTTGACTATTATCCATTAAAAAATATTATATGTTTATATGTGTATGCTACATGTTACTTTTCTATCAAACATGCATTTATCGTGAAACACATATATATCGCAAATATATGTATGTATAAATATTAAACAACTTGCACACAAAATTTTCTACAAAATGGTTTAGTTAATCAAAAAAGTGTAGATGGATTATTTGGAGTTAGAAATCAATTGATGATATAAAATACGCTTACATAGACGAAAATAGACGACAATACATGACGATAATGTCGAATGTGAACGATAACAGAGAGAACTAGTCGGGAGAACGCTTTTTCTCGATCCGTCGTCCGAATGACTAGACTTTAGAAACGAGAGACATATTACATAAATTGATTTTTTTTCTAGCGACAACAAGCCGACAAGACGACAAGACGACAGTGAGAGCTAAAATTGATCACGAGGATAACAGCTGGCAGGAAGCTGAGGTTAGCGAAGTGTCACCACGCGTCACGCCGGGGTGGTGGGTCTATGGGGGGCTCCGCCCCAGCGGTCCCCCGGCTCAAGTCCAACCGGCAACTGCCGGAACGGTGGTGCCATCCTGGCACGGGCCAAGACCGCCCCGCTTCCGGCGGTACCACCGTCCAAGCGGATGAAGAGTCCTTCCAACATCATGAGGCAGTCCAGCCTCACGAAACTCGGTTCCATGATCAATACCGCCGTGAACAAACGTGCCGGTGAGTTTTATCTCTTAAGTACTTACATATTTTACTGAAACGTTTCTTGAGACGCACAAAACTCAAACTTTTCTGATTTGCAAACTTTTACGGAGATGTTCTATTTGTCAGGAATTCCTCTCTTTAAATTTTCCTTGATATCTGCTTTTTAAATTAGTGTCTATATAGATTCGTAATGTTCGTATGCCTGTAAAACGGGAAGACAGAAAGTTACTTGACATTTACTTTCAACTCAAAACGCGGCGATAATTTTTAAACCTGATCTTTCCTCGCGTCTATTCATGTGGATAACCCGAGTCGAAATTTGAGTCTTACTTTGAACCTCTTTCAACCTCAATTAAACGTTATAAACCTTTTGATACTTGTACAATCAAATAGGGCTTCTTAATATTATTTAATTTACAGTTTCTATTTAGAAAACTTCTTTTAAACTTCTTTCTAAAAATAGGAAATTTTGCAATAACTGCCATTTACAGGCCCAACGTAGGAGCTCCATTCATTAGATTAGAACCTATTATAAATCTCCAGAGTCTACATATGTCATCTTTAGAGTCTACATGCGTCCTAAAACTAAGGTTTAAAGTAGGAGAAAAATTTCGATTCGGGAACACATACACCAAAACGGTGAATTCTTTCCTTCCCCATCGCGTATATGGTTGCGATGGATTACGTCAGATAAGCAAAATATAAATTTCTATCATAAATTCAAATACATAGAATTTTGAGGAGTTTCCCAATTTTGGGATTTTGTGTCATTTGCAAAATTCACACACAATATGATGATTTTAATTTTATTCCAAAATTTCGATTGTATCCGCTAATGCACTCGATAAGTGATTGAAGAATTGTCAGTACTTGTATAATAATAAATTATAATAATAAATACATTAAATTAAATTATGGTAAGAGTAACGCTTGAAATAATTCGATGGTTCGAACTTCCTATATAAGAAACTTAAATACATCTAAAAAATGTTTTTGGTATAATGCTTGATAAAAATTGTTGCTTATATCGCGTAATAGTCGTAATTGAATCATTATTTGAATTTTTTGTCAAACAAACTATATCGAACAAATTCAGCGCGTCTTTCTTCATCAAGTTGTCTTTTAATCTGCAGAGTAAACCTATATTATTTTTCTATCTGCATCCTATATCGAAGATTTGTCCAAGATTAAATACAGGATCTTTATTTATTTATTTTTGTATATCCAATCTATATAACTTTTAAACGCTTGTTCTGAAATAATTTGGAGCTTTCTCTTTTCATTGCGTGCTGCAACCTCTTACAAAGATGATGCTTTCCATCCTGAGGAACTGTACGTTGTGCTTATAATCATATAAAAAATTTAAATCGATCGCTTATGTAATATATGTAATACAGATTATATAAATACCCAATATCCTTTCTTTAATTCAACAGATCACTTCCACTCGATTTAAGCGTACATATACTAGACACGTTTAATAATATAATTTATTTCTTTATTACTTCTTTTTCTCTCTTCGTTACTAGCTTGTACTATAGCTTTTCTCAGCTTGTCTTTTAGAAATCATTTGTCGTGTACGTAGTATGCTTGATATATTTATGGAATTTCGTTTACATTAATGAAATATAAGAAATGAAGCTGTTTGTGAGTCTTATTTATCGGAGGTATATTTGAGAGACCAGTTAGAGAGGTCAGCTTTCATATTTGGCGGCCAATTAGTAAATACTCCCGGGATTGACATTGCGCGAGAAGAACCCAGATTCGTCACAATTCGTTACAATTGTTGTGCAGGAAAACTCGAGTGTCGCGGTTGTTGTGATTGTCGCAATTATCGCGTTGCGATACAAGGTAAACGTTGCCGATGATACACGAAGACGTACATATTCGACAGATCGCGTGCGTGTTGGAAGAAAGGCTGTCGCTGTCGAATCGAACGAAAATATGGTTCGTTACGTTCCGACCAAGCGGAAGGAAGTGAAGGACTCGAACATCATTTGTGCTGACTACAATGATTTCCGTGAGTAGATACCGAACCAAGATCACTGGGCTGCTAGTAGACGATTTCTAACGAGAGATATGATATTTCAACGTGTCTGTGCTGATATTCGAAAAGCTAAAAGAAGCGACATGCTATTTAAAAGTTGCATCTTAAAATTTTAATGCGCAGGTAAGCGCACTTGGCAAATCTCATACAGACGTGTCGTAAACCAAACTCTTCGAATTGTACATTGTTTTAGATGTGCGCGAGATACGATCGCGGTAAGCGGTTGTTGAAATTCTAGCGGAGATGCAATCTCGTTAGTACGAACGTATTAACGTAACGACTCTAATACGTTCGGCAAAGCTCCGTCGCTTGTCCTAGCTTCGTATACCTCGGTACCACTTTGAGATAGTCTCGAGAATCGTCTCTCGTGACTCTCATCCCGTTTGTGAAAAGCTTACTGTCTGTCTTACAATTGATTGTGAGTCGTCGACCGTTCTCGAACGATCAACTATGGATATATCGCACAAACACAGTGATTAGTCTTTCTAATTTCCGATTGAAAATGGATCGATCGAAAATCCAAGCCTCTAGGACATTGGCGAGTTTGCGAACAAATAGGAATTCGCCGCTGTTTTCCTCTCTCGAGGAGTTACACGACAAATTAACGGAGCTTTTAGGTAAATTCTTCAATTCATCGTTGAATGAAAATTTTTTAATTTTAAATATTCAAGATCTATTTTAACGATTCGTCAAACATCCTCTTCAGTCGTGAAACGACCTCTCTCCTTGGAATTAGCGTTCCTGATGATAGTGTACTAATAAATATCACATATAACCATGAAGTCATGGATACGTCACTTCACGCTTTTACAAAATTATCTTTGTTTTGACGAGTATAATCGTTTGTTATTGCGTCAACAGGTCGTTCACGATTAAGAGTCACCTCCTTGGCCTATCACATTATTATGTATGATAGAAAATATAACGGTTCCTCGTCGAAAATATCGAAATTTTTTGCAAATAATTTCCCTCTGAAAATAATTTTCATATATCTTTAATACGTGAACAATTAATGCACACTCCTTAATACACGTTATTAAGATACTTTGATATGGATGAAAAGGATTATTTGATTGAAAAGGATAATTTTTTTCTCGAGAGAGCAAGGAGAAGAAAGAGAGAGAGAGAGAGAGAGCTGTAATTAAACAGCGATTGCTATATATGTGATCGTGAGTACAAGTATGAGTTACTGGCTGTTTCACTTTTTTTTACGAAGCAACAGAACGTTTCAGGGCGTGCATTTTTCTCTCCATGATAAAAGAAAATAAATTATATGTATCTCTCCCTCATCGGTTAATACTTTTTACAAAAGTATCATTTTGAAATGTTTACATCTTATGTTGAAAGCTTGAAAGCTGGAACGTCTACTTAATCCTCTAAGCTCCTCTAAAAGATCCGTTAAAAGATTCGTAACGTAAGTTATAATTGGGGTAATTTTTTTTTATCTCTATAAATCGTTATTTATAACACGTGTGCTATAATTTATGACGTCGTTTTTGTATGTTTTTATACAGAAAAGATTCTCGCGATCTTATATCGAATAGATATTTTGCTAGTTTTATATACACATAACGTATCGTTATGTTCATCCGAATCGATTACAATCATGTTTCTTATCCGATAGTGTAGTGGTTGACCTATCATAAATAATGAAACGTCTCGTCGGTGCAGAGAAAAAGGAAGATAATTTTCAAATTTGCCGCGTAGCGTGGATTCGCGGTGCGTCGTGCGTTCTCGGCCATCCTCGTCCATTTTCGGGGATATATTCGCACGGCGTGACGGCGTGGACTCTACGCGGGCCACTTGCGCTGACTTTCGCTGACTTGCGCGTCGCCGAGCATCGCCGAACATCGCCGAGCTGCGCCGAGCATCGTGTGTAAAGATGGTGGTTCTGGTTACCGCGGAGCGGAGCCATCAGCCAAGCGGAGCCGCGGAAGTAGCGAAACCTGGTTGCGCAGTGACGTCACGCCATAGTCGCACATAGTCGTGTTGTGCAGTTATGCGCCTGTGAACTGCTGTGAACTTCCGCCATTGAGAGCAGCCGCATTACGTCGAGAGCGGTTTATGGCACGGTGGTTAGCCGGAAATATGTGACAGAGGATCGGTGGCGGACGGCCCGGATCTCGCGCAATCTCGCGTGTTTTTCGCGTAGCGAACGATCTCCTCGTCGCCGGCGTGGTGCCGCGTGCGCGCGCGCGCGCGGACGTGTCCTGAGAGCCGTGAGAGAATCGAGAACGTATACTCTCGAGTCTCGCCCGCGCCGTTCAGCGCCGTTGGTTGGGCCATCGCATTGGGGCCATACACGTTGGGGCCTCTCAACCTTCCAACGCGTATCAACGCGCGCTCTCTTCGCTTAGCGTGTCCAGTTTCCTCGTGTGTCGTGTCGAGATGGCCGGTAAGTAGTGCTCCAGCTACCGTGGCTCTTGATAAGCCGGCGCATACCGCGCATATCTCCTCGCCGCCAACGACGCGCGACAGCCGACGGCCGACGGTTACGGCGCGTTGCTGCTCCTGTTTCTACTAGGCGGCTCGCCTCCTCGCCTCTTCGCCTCCTCGCTTTTGCTGCAGCGAGGTGAACCTTGACCCAGATTAGAGACGCGCCACTCAAGTGTCCTCCGTCTTCGTCCTCTCGCGTTTTTCTTCGCCGTGTAATAGCGTATCATTTGCGCCCGTACTCCGGATTCTCTCCCCGTGCGCGTGGTGGGGGGCAGATAGACCTATGTGCCCGTCGCCGGTGACGGCGACAACAACAGCGTC